GGGAACTTTTTACTCGCGCCTCGGAACTTGTTACCCGCGCCATGTTCGCTGGACCCGCGCCATTTTCGCTGGACCCGCGCCATGATCTATTGACTCGCGGCCCGCGCCATTTAGACTATCCCTTACCCGGGGGTAACCCCCGGGACAAAATTATTCAAACAATTCCCTACCCCCGGGATTAGTTTTTTTGCATTGTCCCGGGGGTTGCCCGGGGGGAGGATGGTAACAGAAGGAATTGGTTCACGCATAATGGCTGTACTGTAAAGGCCAATCTACAGGATAAGAATCGTATATGACTAGTCGTATTGTGTAGATGGGCCTGAACACTATTTGTGCAGAAGTACTTAGTAAGTAAGTTGTACAAAAATTGTCAGAAAGGCACTTTCACACTCAATTTATTAGATATTAGCATGTATTTCAGCCCTGGTCAACGACCAGGCTATAAAATGCATTCAGAATTATGTCAAACTGATCATATAATTAAATTATTAAAAATGTCATACAGTATATGAATCAGGCAATTCATAAATTATTAAATACTGATTAATACTGGTTAACTGGTATAAATACTATAATTTTTAAGCTGCAAAAAATGCTTAGAATATTGTGGGGGTTTTCTAACCAAAATTGCATAGAGAATTTTGATTAATTATCTTTTTACCTTATTTAACAGATTAGTATTTACAGTATATAAATTAATAAAATTATTAAATATACTGACAGTGACAGACTCCATCCAAACATTCCAACTGTTCACTCTTTTTGCGTTTAAAAATATGCAGAATATAACGCCTTCAAACGTGATTTTCTTAAGTTAATTGATGTCTGTTAGTTTAAGTTTGAAGCTCGCAGAGTTTCCACAGAAAGAGACGATATTTGACCGAATAATTGTAGAATTTTTAGTCAAAATAGCCGCCATCTTGAATGTATTTAGTACCGGGTAATTGATCTCGGAACTTGTTACCCGCGCCTCGGAACTTTTTACTCGCGCCTCGGAACTTGTTACCCGCGCCATGTTCGCTGGACCCGCGCCATTTTCGCTGGACCCGCGCCATGATCTATTGACTCGCGACCCGCGCCATTTAGACTATCCCTGCAGGAATGCCCAAGCGATACAACGATTCCGAAATTTTTGACCAATATTCTTCAAATGTTACGTTATCTATTTGAAGTGTGACTGCATGTGCGTAAATCTCATTTCTGAACAGCTCGATTCTTACGATATCTGCTTCTTTACTATACAATCTGTAGCCAGAGGCTCCGTATCCCATCCTAACGCTGGAGGGGATAAAGATGCACAAATGTTCCGTAAAAGAAAGCTAAGTAATTTGATATCAAACGTTTTCGAGTCTGTTCGGTTGCCAGACGGAGGAAACAGTAAATCCATTTGCCGAGTAAGACTCGACGCTTGAAGTAATTCTTTATTGGCATTAAGAACTGCACGCAGGTTGGCTGGAGGAAGTATGGCATCAAAACACATTCTTAAGGCTTCAGTTCCCTTGTCCACCAAAAGAGTAGAAAACCGTAGAAAATTCGCCCTTTTTTGCGGATCGTTGGACGCCATGACACTGACGATACTATACAACAGAAATTTGACAAACGACACAGTTATTTATTTATGTCTCAAATAAAGGACAATATAACAGAGTTTATCTCGAACTGCCTAAAACGTAACCAGTAATTTTAATAACACAAGACGCAGAGATGACATACCTCTGTAAGCCGAAGACAAACTGGGGAAAGCAAAATACTGCTTCACCAGGCTTGTAAAGAGTACAACGATTTGGACTATAATACTAGATCCATTGAACAGTTAGGAACCTCTAGAAATGAACTTCTCAAATCTCTATCTTCATAGTGTATTTAAAATATAGCTTACTAACTCTTTGTATCCTTGTAATTATATATAGCATCATGTATCCTATAGTCTCATAATTTTTCTGGTACTGATATAATATATATCCATATACCAATAATATGTAAATACTGCACGCACACTATATATACTATTGTATTCTTTGTATTGTAATGTTTTGCAGGAACCATATGAAAAACACTTCTTGTGATGTTTGTTTCCTGAATAAATGTTATTATTATATGGAGAATGGTGTTTTACTGGAAACTAAAACACTCGTAGAACTCATACGTCACTACACCCGGAGCCAGGTGCGCGTATTTTCCGTATTTCACCCCTGCTAGTGACATATACGAAGTTCGAAAATTTTTGTTTGTTCGGATTTATGTTCTCGTGTCAAAAACAATCTCACTCGTTCGCTGCGCTCACTCGTGAGATATTGCTTTTGCCACTCGAACATAACATCCATATCTCTTCGTAACCGTCTAATATCCTCTATATATCATTCATTCAATATCACTAGAAACTTGCCCGACGTTTCTCTCTGTGTCCAGAGCGTATAACGAAAAGACACTCTTATACAGGGTGTATAAAAAAAAACGGCCCAGATTTGCAATTTGCTCTTAAATTCGCAAAACAGCTATTAGTATCCAGTTTTTTTATCTATATAGCTTCTTTGGGTACTTATAATGTAGAAAAATGGAAAAAATTTCTCGAACTCAAATTTTGTGAACTAGGGGGTGTGTCTTTTCCAACGAATTAAAATTGGTTTGCGCACGAAATTTAAAAGCTTTAATCATATTTTAAGTTAACAGATGGAAAGTTTGTTGGGTTTTTAATTACTCCACAAAATTTCAGACAATTTGCTTCAGTTTATGCCTTTAACCATTAGTTACCATTCACGCAAAAATAAATGCAAATTGGGTAAATGCATTAATTAAGCATGCGAAATTAAAGGCTAATTTCTTAGACGGAAAAGTGAATAGTTAAAGTGCTTAAACTACAGCAAATTGTCTGACATTTTGTACAGTAATTAAAAACCCAACAAATGTTCCATCTATCAACTCAAAATACGATTAAAGCTTTTAAATTTCGTGCGCAAGCCATTTTTAGTTTGTTAGAAAAGACCGCCCCCCCCCTGAGTTCGAGAAATTTTTTCCATTTTTATACATTATAAGTACCCAAAGAAGCTATATACATCAAAAACTGGATACTAATAGCCGTTTTGCGAATTTAAGAGCAAACTCCCATTTGGGCCGTTTTTTTTATACACTCTGTATATGATGCAAAGTCAAAGATTTAATGTTTTAAAAGGCTAATAAAGATTGGGGTTTTACCTTTTTGATGACATCGACTTTGTATAATTCCAAGCACATGCAAATAATCAAATACGAGCCAGTTATATAAATTACCGATCACATCACATTTTTCCAGCTTTGTGTTAATATTATTAAAGCAGTATATAATTACATAATAACAGAAAAAGCAACTAATCATTAAAAGTTCACTGATACACTCTAAAACATTCTGGTTAAAATGTTCCTGTAACAATACGAATTGTACACCAAAAATCGCTTGTGTCTTGCTAAACAGTAAGCTAAAAAATAGGTACGCGACGCGTACATGTATCTGCGAAAAAACTTGATTCACATTTCCATCACTTATTATAATAAATATAATAGCAAATAAGATTTTAAAGTCAAACATAGTACAAATCTAACAAGGCTGTAGACAGCACAGAGGGCAGCAGGGGCAACTCACCCCCCCCCCCGGGGAAATTTAACTAATTTTATGTGATTATGATTGTAACTCGGATAATTATGCAGTCAAAAAATAAAAATTTCATGCAAACAATATTCGCAGTGTCTATTTAGTAAACTGTCACTTGTCAATCCATACCCATTTTGAAAACTTTATTGTAATCATATGAAGCAAAAGTTCTGTCACTTGTTGTTCACACTTGCCAACGTTAACTGTTGAGTAACATACACAAACTATTTGAGTAACATGCACAAACTATTTGAGGAACATGCAATTAATACTGTAGCAAAGAGTCGATCATATATCGAAGACCACTGAATAGTAGAGAATGTTTTAAAGGTCATGAATGAAGTATATAATTAAATTCCAATCCTGTGCACAGTTAATGATATACCACACTGTTCGGTTTAACACAACATATCCGAAAAAAACAATTTTTGTTGTGGGAGAATATCGGTTTGAGTAGAAGGCATCACAAGTTCAGTTTTGTACATATTGTGTGCCATTGATCTGACCGTCCATATAATATATGATTATTGTAGCTGTTAAGTTATTATAGTATCCATACCATTGATACTTGAATTTAGGTAAGATTGTCTTGCAAGTGGGTTGTTCTGACAAAATTATCTAGCCAAAATCTAGTACATTTATTAATCATTCTTGCTAATCTCTAGACAAAAACATTTATGTTAGAAAGCAAAATAACAATGCAATATTAAAGGAGGGAGGGTGGGGATTCTTTTATTAGTATTTGAAAATGTTTGTAAAAATTTTGTTTAATTATAAACTCTATTAAATGTGTAAAACCAAAATGTATAAGTATTGTAAACTGATAACATCTTTAACCTCCAACACTACATTTGATGACAGCTTAGTTGGACTGTTGTTTTGAACAGAGTTTATACAGAAATACACGACCAGGATTTAATTCAATATCTCCCGAGACCATTAGTTTCCTTTGGTATTGTTCATTGGCAATATTGCCTGCTATGTTTTGACTGTTTAAAATATTAGAGAAGTCACAGAAGGATTGTTTCACTGTATAAATCTTTTTGTGAACTATGTTGACAAATGGCTTAAAATATCCTCGAAAATATCCAATATTTTATACAGTGTAATATATTAATAAAAAAATTCCAAAGTGCATTTCATGTACACAGTCTCTACGCCGAAGATACGACAATATTAACTATAGATAGTATAGTAATTTGCCGAACTCATGTATTATTAAAATATGTGGGATATATATTTGCACAAATTTGGTATTTAAATCTTTAATATATGGTATTTGACTACTTACCAGATGAGGATAAGATTCCATGTTGATAAATAACTTCGGAATAATATCGCAAGTAGAGAAAACAAGACAGCCAATTCAAGATATTAAACTTGATAAAAATATCAAGATATTTTTGAAAGAATAACACGATTTATACACGAGGCCTGACGAGCAGTGCTCTCATAATCAAATTTTCGAATTCCTTAGAAAAAGCTCGAAAATTCCTCACATTTCCTTAAAATTCCTTAAATTGGTAAAATTACTACAAGGCATGATCACAGAGTTGCAAAAAGTGTTTTTTTCACCTGATTTACCTGAATTTTTCGAACTGAACGTTCTTTAAAACCGTATTTTTTGAAAATTTGAAGTTTCTAGACCGTCGGAAATGGCATTTTTTGAGTCTTCATACCCAATATTTTAGTATTGCCTAACAATGAAGATAAGTATTGCTACTTTCAGTTTATAATGGGAAACTGAGAAAATTTTGGAAATTTCGAGTCTCCAGATCGTCAGAAAGGGTATTTCGCAATTGTCTCCCTGCCACAACACGTCTCAACGTCTTTAGTTTGTTTGATTGTTAACTCCAATTCAGATTAGAGAGTTCACTTTTTTATGCCATGAGAATTACCTGAATTTACCTGAAAATCTACAGGATATCTACCTGAAATTGTTCATGAGCAATATTAGGGGTGTTGCACCCTCCCTCCCCACTCCCCCGGTCGCTAGGGCCCTGAGAACTTAGAAAATCTGTAGATTTCTGAAGAAACAGCATACACTGACATTTAACTTTTGAGAATTTTAATGGAAAGACAGCCACATGTACATTTACGACATAGAGAACATACGAATATATGTCATTATGTGCATATAGTGTTGCTACTTTCAGGTTTAAATCTCATTTGCGTGGCGTGGTTATTCTCCGTCAAACGTTTTTAGTCCAGGATAAAATGTTTCGGAAATTCCTTAAAAAAATCCTCAAAAACCTAAATTCCTTAAAAAAATCCTTAAAACACTTCCAAATTCCTATTTTTAAGGATAATTCCTTAAAAGTGAGAGCACTGCTGACGAGGTTAAAGTATGCCCGTTCGCAGGTTAGATGCGGGCACGATGTAAACAATTGATGTAAACTGATCGCTGATTGGCTTAAATTGGCATAAATTGGCTGAATTATATAAGCCCATCGCTGAATGGCTAGTGATACGGTACGGTACGTTTGCGATAGCAATATATCTGCTTCGCAGATACAAAAAAGGACAACATCAACATTTATTTCATTTTATCACATACATATGTCGATCGTTACAGTATAAATTAAATTCATTGATTTTGAATTCAAATGGCATATATTAATTTTCAACAGTACTAGCTTTGCACCTAATTCCCATGCAATGGTGGCAATGGGCAATCGTCGACCGGCAATTTTTATCAGTCGGACTGTATTTTTAGCTTCGAATTCTTGCTATGTAAAATTGTGGCCGAAAGGGCGAATGGAACTCTCAAGCCAATTCCGATACGAAGTCTATCTCTTATATTTATAATTATCTGTCTGGCTTTCAAAAAAGCCTAGTTCACTGCTGCGTCACAGAGAAAAAAACCCCGTAATATGTAGTTTTTATTCCGCATATCTCGCGACCATGTTCTTGGCAAGTGCTCTAAAGAGAGGCATTCACCCCCTGGAACATTAAATTTAAATATGTTTTCAAGGGGGGTTTGACGGCTTCTCTTTACGGCCGGCCTGAGAACGGAACTCTGTGGCTCAGTGCTGAAACTGATTTCTACCGGCATTATTAATATTTGCAAGTCGGAATGAAAGCATGCTTTACGCAATAATTATTCCGCCAATAATTCCCCTTCGGTATATCATTCGATAATTTTTAACAAATTAAATTATTTTGCTGTTCCGTGTTCCAGAGACAATGCAGAGTGATGCTGTTCCGGTGTTCCCATGCTTTTACTAATAGCCGGAAATTCCTCGTCTCGCAGCAGTGATTTTAAAACGTGAAAAAATGTGCGAAAATACTTAGTCTAGTTTTCACACCGAAATTAATGAAAGTTTAAAAAAGAGGAGAACTTAATGACAGTTAATTTGTGGTCAAATTAAAAGGCCATGCAACCGATTGATTGAATATTTATCATTTATAGACCCTCCGCTCGGGGGATTCGGCGTAATATTTCCCGAAGTGATGATATTTTCCGAGGGGCTTTGCCCCGAGGAAAATATCATCACTGAGGGAAATATCGCCGAATCCCCCGAGCGGAGGGTCTATAAATGATATATTATACCGAAAGTTAAAGAACTCACTAAGAGTCTATCAAGTTCAGAATAAACTTTAAAACTTGCTGAATATTAATAACTACGCGAATACAATTTTTAATTTCTTATCTATACCTGAGTTTTTGACGTTTTCTCCTTAAAATATTTGAGCAAGTATCCTTTGGATCGTTGAAAGTAACATACGTGTTGAAATATTTGGTTTACTTAATATTAAAATCTTCTGTAGTTCTGTACGAAATAAATACAAACATGCAACAGCTCGAGAACGCCATATTGTTTCAGAATTCAGAGCGTGGTGTCCACGCGTCGCGCGTGAGCGTGGGATACTATAATATCCCACGGTGGATCTGCCGTGGGATATTATAGTATCCCACGCTGGATTGCGAAATCATGAATTTGAGTGAAATACCATAAAAAATCACACTACCACGTGGTACAAATGCTGTTTTTTCATTGGACAATTTGAATTTGAGGTATAATATTATGAGTTATTTCTCGTTCTCCCAAGGTATATATTATACATGCACTATAGCTGGAAATAGCCCCAACTGAATTACAATTAATGCAATTAGGTAGTGATCAAATGTATTTATATGTCTCCAGCATTTTCTCTTTGGCATGCTTTGTGGACAATCAATGTTTAAATTTAACTGTTTGTATCAGTCAAAAATCACGCACCTGTTAATTCAGCATGAAAGCAACCCGACCTTATATTTAACAGGGTTTTAACGTACGCTTTTTCTTGTATAAAATATCTCAAAAACACAATATATACCGACAACAACAGAAATATGAAAGATTCAACTTCAATTTTATTGCCATTATCGCAAGCTCAATTTCATTGCCCTTTATCGATAAAATGGCGATCGAGATGTATGGAAACCGATAACATTTTCAAATTCAAAGACGTTTGAACAACTAAATGTTTTTAGCAAATATTATTAATTAAACATAATAATCTTGTGCTATATGTTCTTGTTGGTCAAGTATTGATGTTATGTTTTAATACTTCCGTGAAACTCATGAAGCATCATTTTATATTATTTTAAAGTACGTGTACTTTAGATAGGGAAGCTAATGATGCATCCTACCATCCTACATTATAATAGAAATTCGACATTCTCATAGATATGTCACGGAGTTCTTTCAACGATCCCAGTTGAAGGATTCAAATAATAAAATGACCCCCACAATCATAATTTGAGTCAAACTAGAACGTATATATCAGTTGAGTAAAAAGGTGGCAGATTGTGGTCAACCAATAGTTATCTGGGTATAAGAAAATGATATCAATTTTTCTGAATGTATTTGGTACTCTTTATAGGCAAATACATATAGAAAAATGAGAAATATACGTAGTCTCATTTTCTTTGTCATATAAAGTGCCAACAAGCAGGTGACGTCTTGCATTTCCGGCCACTGAAACCTACACTAAGTAAGGCGATTAAATTCACAGAAATGAACGACAGTAAGGTCAACTAATATCAAGTTTCCATCAATAGTCGTTTGGTTTGCTCTAAAAATCTACTTTAGATAGAGAAGGAAGAGATGCAACTTACCAGACGCGCTTTAAGGTATACAAGCAATTATTCAAAATAACAAAACATCGAGACTCGTTGAAATAGCTTCAGTTTTCTTTTCTGGATCACTGTACAATGACATGAGTTAACCACAGTTGACACTGATCATAATACCATTTGCATGCCGACACAGAAACCTCATCTAAACTGAATTTTAACGGCTGTATAAGACCATTAAGAATATGCTTGCGTGCACGATTCTTTAATTAAGCAATTAATATGATAAGCTTTGCCAAGCCGCAATCCATAATTTCTAAAGCTCAGTGGGGTAATTTCATATAAAGACCGTATATCAATTCGTATTCAAATCAGTTTACTTTCTTGAAGAATAATCTTTCATATACTCATAATTTTCCTGGAATTGCTGCGGTTTGAAGTCAATATGCCAATTCCCATTTCATGTCATATGTGATGTTTACATTTAAAGACCATGTAAAGTCCGTAATGTAAACAAACGCTTTGTTTACATTTTGAACTCAGTGCTACAGTTGTAAAATATGATTAGATATATATTACACTGAATTTTTAAGACTCTCCTGGTTCCCTATGCTTGTAAATGAATACAGACTAGAGATTCAATTCAAGAAAGTTCAAAAGATACGATTAATAACATTCCAACGGTCGGGTCCCGACCATTGGAATGTAAGCCTGCGCAGAACGTATGCGCAGAACGGATTTTACATGGTCTTTAAATCGCTTTTTTCTTTCATTTAGCGAGTTCCAATTATTAATGCTAAGTGAAATATTCTGTTTTTGATGAATTTCCGCCAATATCAAATAAAACTGCGTAGCTCTTGTTGCTGCTACAGCGACAACAATTTTGAAATTTTGCAAGGAAACTTTTGAGGTTTTCACATGGTCACTTATGCTCTATATAGAATATCGAGTACTTTGGACTGAAAGTTAAAGGATTAGTGTCACATCAGGAATTTGCGGGCTCAAACTCCTGCTGGCGGCCATTTTTCGGGACAAATACATTAGATGATCTGGAAAGTTTTTACAATCCGACATATATTTAAACCATCCTTTTATAATCCTTGCTCTTTTATAGTCTGATTTTTATCAGTTTTGTTGTATTTGAGTAAAATGTAAACAATAACAAAAGCCCGCAATGCATGACCCTGACACTAATTCTTAAAAGGACTTTTGTGACTTTTATAATTCCCAATATAATATTACCTGACACACTGTTACCACATTCATATTGCATTTATTATTAAAGTTATTAATCCATGCACCAGCATGAGTTTATACAACATTAATTTGCTGGCAGCTATTTTGACGGTATTCTCCATGTGTCTTGTATATTGTTTTTCATTTTAGTAGCCTAGTATTAATGCAAACCATAAGTAATATGGATGGCGTTTAGAAAACGTCTTGCAGAACTTTCACAGAAATACTTATAGCAATATTAAAGCAACTTCTTATAAGCAAACATTATGGTAACTGAAAACATGCGATTGATCATGAATCTTATAGTCGTGCAAACTGATTGTCAAAAAATAAATCAAAATCTGTGTAAATAAAAATCTATGTAAATAAAAGTACAAATTAGTCAAACTGTCAAAATATGAGAGCGAAACTTGTTGTACATCCGTGCAAATTCCAAAATTTCCCTAATAATTTCTCCAAAAGTGCAGAAGTTTTCGGGTATATATTTTGTGGCTATCGTGAACTGTTCGTGATGCGAAATCTGCCGGATGGCAAACATATAGCCAGTGGCTTCACCCTGCGACTAATTAAGTTCCATATCCCTAATTTATAATTCGCAATCGGGCCGGGCCCCGTATGCTAGGAAACGGGAATAAACGTGGAAAAACAAGAGAAATCTGCCTACTTGCTGAAAGACCAAATTTAACAACTACTTTGTTATAGAATATAGGATATATTAATTTATAGCGATTTTGGTGTGTATTCTAAAAGTTTGTCCCAACAACGAAAGCTAAAACGAGACTGCTATAAAACGACAGCTCCTTCTCCAGTTTTCGGTGTGGAAATGTGAAAACATGACAACGTAGCAATGGTGCATGTTTATCCATGCAGAGGTGAAAATAATATTTTATTAAGATTTTAATGTTGATACACAAGCTTACTTCCGTGAAAAAGGAATGGAAGGAAAGTTATATTTCCATATCTTGGTATTAATATGAAAGAAAAGAATTTCGAATTCATGAATAAGGCAGTGGCGCAACGTTATATGAAGGGGGGCCCCGGTTCAAAATTTTCGAAGGCTCCCTAGTAGAAGTGCCAAAGGCACGAGTCAAGCGCCGTATATATGCACGAGTTTTCTAGGGTCCAGGGCATGCTCACCCAATTTTTGAATCTAGACTCTCTGAAATGCCATTTCCCGGACTTTGGGGAGAGATTTTACAGAATTCGGATGGTCAGAAAACGACATTGTAACATATCAGAGGCCCTCGCCAATGTTTTTGCTCTACAGCCTGAGCCTGGGGGGGGGGGGCATTTGGCCCATTGGGGTTGGGGGCCCCCGGGTTCGCCCGATCCGCGCCCATAGTGGTTACGCCACTGGAATAAGGACTATTAATTAAAAAAATTAGTCTGCAGCCATACTTGAAATATACGTGCTACACCGTCGGGCACTGAGGGTTCATATACTATTGCTCCGCTCACTAATCTATAATGGCCATATTTCCGTATGACGATGCACTACAAATTTAATTGTCGTGTTGCCTTACTTGCCTGCATATTCGGAGAGAGTCTTGCTGTTTCCAGGTATATATTGATTAGAAAGGAATCGGGTTCCTCCTTCTTAAAACTCATGATCAAACTTTGACTTGGTTCAAGTCCGTCTCAGGAGAAAAGTAGGGAGAGACGGACTTGGAACATTTGCAGCATTTTGAATGTTCCTTTAAAAAATTGGCGCGAAAATTTGTTGTTGTTCTCAACTCGCGAGCCACGACTCCGTAGGAAAAATCCGACGGTAAAATTTGGCGCGCTTTCAGGATATCGAAGTCCGACTCTTCCTACTGTTCTCTCATATTTTCGCGCCTTTTTTGACCGCTCGCGTCCATCGCTATTTAGTTGCTGGGGCACCTGTGCCAGCAACTATAGGTTTCGGGTGAAATTGTTCTCCTTCTCCATGGATAGTCGCAAAATGGAAATTCCCACTGATCTATATACGAAGCAATACGTGCATAGATTTTCGCTATTTTAACTGTCTTAAAGTCTTCGTAAGTGTATAAAGTGAACGTCAAATTGTTCTTTCAATCACGTTTTTTCTTCTGGGGGCTTTTTGAAAGAAATCCAACAAGAATATACATAATTATGTCGACGTTTCACTATCGAGGAGTGGAGTAGATTTCGAGGTGGATTAACTGACAATAACTGTGTTATTTATTCGTCGAACCATTATTTCTGAACATTTACATGTATATTTTTGTTTTGTGAAGTTTTACAAATCGTGTTTGTTTACATGTATTGGAACTGTCATATTTGCATGCTAGCTCTATTTTCAAGCTCAAATGTTGGCTGTTTTTAAGTGACACACGAGGTACGTGACACACAATCTTGGATTGGTATTTCTTAGATAGATAGATGTTTTTAATTGATAAACCTTGCAGCCATTGGCTGTATTATGTTAACATTACACAAGGTCCACTTATTATTCTGGTTATAGGACTGAACTATTAGCTTGAAAACTCTCATGTTCATGTTGTAAACTACATGATGTATTCATGATTTTTACTTGCAACTCATTTGCTTATTTAATAGATTGCAAACAGGGGTCCCCTTGTTAAAAATTTCATGTCAATTTGGGAAGATTAACATCGCAATATTTTTGCAGATTGCAAAATTTATAATCTATCAGTAATCTGTACCTTACTATGATCTAACCATTTGATGATATTTATGTGGCTCTAACATGTAATAGCTTCAATATTTTGGAGTGTATTATTTGAAGTTAAAAATCACCAATTGAAGAATTGCTAGAACCAAAAGTGAATACTGGAACTATGCCTGGTTACCCCACGTCTTGTCATCCCCCCCCCCTTCTTTGAGGGCCCTCTTTGTTAGCGATTCAGTTCTACACCACTGACTGCTAATATAAAGTTATGTAAAATTTTAATGCCAATAGCTCAGGGAGTGCAGTGCTGTGGGAAGCTCTTTTTGATTGGGGAACTGAAAGCAATAGCCAAAGGCCCAAGGAAATTTTTAGAGTCTCTGAAATGCCATTTCCTGAACTTTGGGAAAGATTTGACAGAATTCCGATGGTCAGAAAACAGCATTTTAGTATGTCGAAATTTACAATTTCAAACAGCCCCCCCCCCCTCCCCTGGGTGTTACGGCCCTGGGGTGAAATATGACCACTGTCTATCGCATGCATCAGTTAGGTGCAAAAAGCTAAATTCCGCACCAATAATCAATATATGCGATTGTCCATATCATATAACCCTTTAAGTGGCAAGGTACCCTCATGTGACCTACCTTATTATTTTACTGTGTCTAATGCCAAGGATTTTACTCATCAGGGAGAGAGTGCTGTCACTCAATGGGTTAATTTACAAACGACTCCTTAGTCCTTAACTGTCTGATAAACAATTTTTGTGTTTTAAAATTTGTTATAAACAAGTTAAAATAAAAATATACAAATCTGTATTTATCCTCAAATATGAATAAGGGGTTATTATAGCCCAAGGCCCAAGTATGAACACTTGTGCCACAGTGCCAGCATAAAATGGGCTATTCCAGCTTTCAATTCTGCTGGAATGAGGTGATAAATTTTTAGCTTTGGAATTCCTCAGGGATAAGCAAATATTTTCTGTGTGGAATTCTTTGGGGGTAATCCGGTAATGGATATTTTGAATGAGATTTTCTCAGGGGTCAAATGTAAAAATTGAAATTCTTCCAGGGTCTCTCTTCATGGGTATTAACAGGAATTCTTCAGTGGATCTCTTTTATGACCTGTAGGAATTCTTCAGTTCAGCGATATGATGAACTCTTGTGCAACGGACCTGATTGTGAGATTCCACTTCATTGAAAGGACGACCTTAGGGACGGACCATTAGAAAAGTGATGGGGGGGGGGGGCAAAACCAAAAAAAATTTATTCCCAGGAAAAAATTAGGGGGAAAAAATCTTCCCAGGCATAGTGCAAAAAAAATTCCTTTCTTGGAAGATAGGCCTATAAATTTTAATAAAAAAATATATTTCCAGCCATCAAGTGAGAAAAAAAATTTCTATAGGTGTACAAAAAAAATATTGCCTCTTAGAAAATCCCCCCCCCCCATCACTTTTCTAATGGTCCGTCCCTTAGTTAATTAAATTTGCTGTATACATTATGTCGCAACGTGTCACTATTTAATAAACTTATGTACAATTACAAATCAAGCCCACAAATCGTTGAATATACTCTTACCGCTCGTTGCAAATCACGCAGGCGCCTATTTAAAAAGCCCCAGCAACTTAACGCTCGAGAGAGCGTCTTGTTCCATCAAATTTCATCCCCTTGAGAGACGGACCTGAACCAAGTCTAGATCAAACTGTGAAACTGATATAGTCGCCTGAAGTCTCATTGCCTATTGCTCAAAAGGGCCTTTTAATTTCACTATTAATCTGGGGGATTGCCCACTCCTAGAAATCGGACACCCCCCCCCCCCGTCATATTAGTTTTGACACCAGAAAAATGCAGTTCCGAATTGTTTCCAAGAAATGTAATTTAAGGAAGATATTCAAGATCAAACTTGAAGCAACTGAATGCATTAAATGGCGACAGATACATGCAGCAACCTCTCGCATTTTCAAACTGAACAACTATATCGTCCCCAATCATTATATAATTATTAAACACAATCACGCGAGGGCGACTTTGAAATGAAATCTTTGGAAAAGTGCTGCTCTTGGTTTTAAATTTTCCCCGGGTTGACATCCGGATATATGCTATCGGATTACTCCAGCAAAAATAAAAAATCACATGTGGATAATCAACTGGTAAGAAAATTAGTTAAATTACAAAGATACTCTCCCTTCCACCTCGGTCCTCCTGAGCAAACCTCTATTAACGACATTTTTCCATTTGAAAGAAAATGTTTTGCCTTTGGCCTAAAAAAGACACTGTTGCTCAAAACGTTCCGGAATTTATCAAAAGAGACTTGGCAAGATATAACTTTCATGTTCAATACGAAAAGGCATTGACAAAAGAACGAAATCGCTCTGCAAAGTGAGCTTATGTTGACAGATTGGAACATCTCTTCTGATTATGAATATATATATCCTGGCTTCAAAAATGGCTCATTCTTTTCAAACGGATGGTGTACGCAGTTCTACTTTCGAGATCATTTAATACACTTCTGCTATCTGCTATCGTTTTTTGGGGGGTACCTCATGTAAGACCCACAAACAGTTTGAGCAAATTATAAGGTATATCCAGCCTAGTTCCTGGCCTTCTCGCTTCCGCCTCGTTATTTTAGGGGGAAATCGCTAAGGTTTGCAGGTTGACCGGGATAAAGCTGTATTATTTGGATACTGGGGAGAGGCGAGAAGCGAGAAGGCCTAACAGGTAGGCAATTTGTCGACGTTGACCAAAAATAGCGGCTCATTTCTTCTTGAGTTGACATTTTCGCGTCGAAGAGCAAAAATATAGACTTTCGGAGAATATTTTAGCTGTTTACTATCAAATATGCTTGTGAAACAGTCGATAATCTCACTGAGGAAGGCCAACGGTTTCTGAAAAGCTAAAGTACGTCGAAATCAGCTTTGGAATAGACTATATTTTCACCGGGGAAACATGAACAAAATGGATATTTACATCAACACTAAATTTTGCTCGTGCCTACAGAGCTAGTTGGATTAAAACAGATGTTAAGAAGTAAGTGAAAATGTAAACTTTGTGAATTATACTTTCATTAAAATGTTTCAGAAGGTCTGCTAATGTCAAACTACACGTGTGACAGAGCTGTCAGTATACCCATATTTCAATGTTTATGTTGAAATGACCTATCTTCTTTGAGGTATAGCTTAAAATTTAGGGTATGCTCATCACTTGAAACTAGCTTTAAATCAAAGTTTTATCTATAGTCTTTTTATTAGAATTAAAATCATTCATGGGAAAAATGTGCCAAAGGGTTGAAATTGCCCTTGTATATGTATACTATTTTTGATATGTTTGGGTTAGTATTTTGAAAAGGTGTTCTGGAAGGAAAATAGGTCTTGAACAATACTGGTTGACCCTTAAATTATAACTAGTGTTATGTAAATCACAGAAAATTGAAAAAAGTCTGGTCCGTACACAATAGTTTGGATTCTATGAGGTCCCGAATGCGGCTTATTTCAATGTTTAATCTGTTTACCTGGAAAAACATAGAAAATTGAATAAGTCAAGAATTTGACTATGCTCATCATCCAAAACCAGGTTTTTCTAATTGCTTTTTCATCCAGGGTTTGTGGCAATACCAGTTATGCGACCATGAAAAATGCGCGCGGCACTTTTTTTGGACACTGAAGATGACAACATTTGATGTTGTTATATATTGCCATCCTCTTATCATAGTATAACTTAACTTATTTTAGTGAGTTTGTTAAAGAATTGTGCTCACTATATGCCTGTAGTATCTACGATTTATTTCATAGCATTAGATGATAAATTTAAGTTCTGTTTTCTTTTATTTTTAGGTGATAGTATCTGTTCACATGTGTGTTGGTATCAAATTTTGCACAAGATTAAATTATTATTTCACATTCCTTTATTGAAATATCCAAATAAATGGAATGTGACATCAAGCTGGAGGACTAAATACTGTTTCCAAACTTGTTTTTGTAAAAATAGAAAATAACAACTTACTATGTGTTGTTCTAATAAAAACTATGATTTTTGATATGCATATTTAATTTTTGAAATTACATTTCATTCTTTGTTAAAATGTGTACCAGGAATACTGAAATCTTTCAGATCAGCTAACAATACCTTTGTAACTTATATAGCCAAGTGTTCTATCTATTTCTGTTCAGATTAAACAAATGATGGGTAAAATATTAGATTAGATTTTTGCAAAAAAATGAGCTTGCCTGTTTTCAAAGCGTAAAAAGCAATAAAATAAAGCAAAAGTACTTATTTTCAATATAAAACCTTTGGAATGCATAGCTTAATGTTTTCCACTAAATATTACAAAGTTTTCGTTCATTAAAATGTTGTTTATCAGCTTTAAAACCAGATAAATCCACGAAGCACTCCTAATATATGTCGCCATATTGATTTTCTTCGCGCATGCTCAGACAAATTGCCCACCTGTTCGCCCGTGTTTTATAGCGCCCTGACTCGACCCAGTCTTTCGCGCGATCTATGTATTGTCGAGATTTTTGTCGAGATCTTGATTTGTGTCTGTCTGTTTGTCTGTTTGTAAAGATGATTTCCGGGAGGAATAATTAAGCTTCAGGAAGTTTTTTAAACGAGGGGGGCGGTCAAACCATACTTTATTTTGTATTGTGCTGATTTCTGCAAGCAGTTTTACGAGACCATACGAGTTTATATGTTGGAAACAGTTGGATTAATGGTAATTTGCAAACGATTGACATTCGACAATATCAAAGAATAATCAGGTAAGAATGGTTTTATTTCTTTCTGGTGATATACTTGAGCCATGAGGTATTTAATATAGGTATTCAGATCTGCGCAGTTTAGCATTCGATACAGAGGTATTGAAACATATGATTTCATGATGTCAATGTCTTATTTTATATACAAGGAGTCAAAATGTATTTTGAGTTTAATATTCGTTTGTGTGCATGGCGATGTGCATGCAAGGCGATGAGTTTATAGTGTTCATAATGTTAGATGTTTATAGCCATTGTGTATGCTTTCAGCACGCACGTTTTCAAAACAAATACGGACTGTTATAGCAACCCAGTGTAGGGATTGTTGTCTGTATATATTAACTTATCGGGTTACCAGCAGTTACATGTAAATAGCATATTAACCGACTTTTGTACAAGGTATGATGCTTGATGGCCTGTTTATATCTCTGAGACATGTCCTAATTCTGTTAACATAATATGAAATAATCCTACCGACCTATACTCATACATTCAGTGGCTGTGTCACTACATTTCTGGGTGTGCTATATTCTTCGATAATGCTCACAAATCCTTTCTTATTATATAGTTTTGCGGTTCTGAACTGAGTACAATGAATGAGTGGTGTCATCTGAAGCTGACATATATTAAATAAACAAAAATGTCAACAAATACATTTTGTCTCCCCATCAGATTGTTCGGTTGTTAATTTGCTATAGGGGTAGCCATGTAAATAATAATTGGAACAAAAACTGACTTAGTATTTCTATATACGACAATATACAGTATTCAGTAGCTAGCTGGCCATGATAACTGGTCATGCTATCCTAATAAACCTGCATCATTTGAATAATGCACCAGTCAATGTAAATCCCCTCCCTCCAACTGGGGAGGGGCGTGGGATTTAGCGGGGAAAGTGGTCAGTTTTGATTGTGAATATGTCCTCAATGATGGGGGACTTGGACGACATTCTCTCTTGCGGTAGACAATGCGGGCGAAAGCAGGGGAATGGAATCGGTTGTTAACATATATATCCTGTGTTGCTGTTTTTAGTCTTCTTTGTAGAGTACGGTACCCCTGTGCATTGACGACCCCAACGCATGTTGGGGCATGTATAAAAGAGTGTTCCGCCATCTTGTATTTAGTTTAGACAATATATTTTGCATCTTACACTGGGCTCGTTTATCTTCTGTTTCGGCACGTTACTACATGGTGGCAGCGGTGAAAAAATAGTAAAATGGCAGACAATACAACAGGGAATATGTCCCAAGTATCAAATATCCCGATTCCTGAGAAATTCGATGGGGGAAATGGCCAAAACAAGGCGACTTGTGGCCGAAGTGGATACGCCGGTTTGAACGCTACAGAATTGCCTCGGGGCTTAATAATAAATCGGATGCTGAACAAGTATCTACATTACTGTATGCGATGGGTGAATGCGCTGATGATATCTTGAAAACGCTACAAATTGACGAGGACAAAGCTTCGTACGAAGAAGTCAAGTCAGCACTCGAGAATCACTTTTCTGACAGAAGAAACGTACTTGTTGAGCGTGCTCGCTTCAACCGGAGGGTTCAACGCACTGGGGAGCCAGTGGATACATTCATCCAGGATCTCTACAAAATTGCAGCAGATTGTGAGTATGGAACATTAAAAAACGAATTGATTAGAGATAGAATTATTGTAGGGGTTGTAGACGATTCACTCTCAGACCGCCTACAGTCTAAGCCAAAACTGACTTTACAAGAAGCAGTACAGATTGCCCGTCAAGCAGAGGAACGAAAACATAACAGAGATGTAGTGAGAGGGGATGCCACAAAGTCTAGTGCTGTTTATTATGTCCGAAATGGGGCCCAAACCAAGGGGAGATATCACAAGCAAAATCCTCGTTCCCAAGAAACAAAGGGTCCCCATACACCACTTAAGAAATCAGGGGATAAATGTAATTGGTGTGGCCATGAGAGGCACGACCGTAAAGTTTGTCCAGCAAGGTCAGTTACCTGTAATAAATGTAAGAAAAAAGGCCACTAGCAAGCAGTTTATCAGAGCAAGCCAAGTTTTTCCAAGTCAGTTAACGAAGTTAAGAGCCTGGGGGAAGATCAGGTCCTGTTTCTCGGGGAGATCAATGGGGAAAGTAATGATTCCTGGACTGTACAAATAGGGGTGAATGGTCACAACACAAAGTTTAAACTAGACACAGGCGCATCAGTTTGTGTGCTAAGTGATTCAGTTCCATGGCTAGAGGGTAGTACGTTGGAAAAACCTCAACAAACCCTTAGAGGTCCAGGGGGATCCAAGCTCAAAGTTATGGGAACTTTCATGGCTACCATGAAATACCGTCAGAGTAAGGTCCAGGAACTGGTATATGTTATTCGGAATCAGCCTTGCTCCCTATTAAGCAAGAAAGTTTGTGTACAATTGGGTCTTGTCAAATTGAATGATGTAGGGGAAGTTATTCAGTCCCCCCCTGACTTCCGAAAGGATTGTTCGAAGGGTTGGGGAAGCTAAAAACGGAACACCATATAACACTGTGTGATGATGCCACCCAAGAAAGGTGCCCCATCCCCTGATACCCAAAGTCGAGGCAGAATTACAGTCTATGCTCAAGCAGAATGTTATTTCACCTGTGACTGTTCCTACTGAATGGTGCTCGGGTATGGTTTGCGTTCCAAAACCCAATGGTAAGGTCCGCATCTGTGTGGATTTAACCCAGTTAAATAAGGCGGTTAAGCGAGAAATACACCCAATGCCGTCTGTGGATGAGAGCCTTTCCAAGCTGGGCCAGGGGAAAGTTTTCAGCAAGCTTGATGCGAACAGTGGGTTCTGGCAGGTCCCACTAGACGAACAATCGAGACTTTTGACAACATTTATAACACCATTTGGTAGATTCTGTTTTAACAGGTTGCCATTTGGCATCTGCTCAGCTCCTGAGATATTTCAAAGGACTATGTCTGGTATCCTAAAAGGTCTTGATGGAACAATCTGTCAGATGGATGACGTCTTGATTGGTGGAAAAGATCAGGTCCAACATGACGAAAGAGTACGTGCAGCACTCCGACGTGTTCAGGATGCAGGTTTGACCCTGAATGAGAAGTGTGAGTTCAGTAAAGAGTCAATCAAGTTCCTGGCACACGTGATTGACGATCTGGGCATCCACATTGACCCAGACAAAACGACAGCCATTGCCAAGTTCCCAACACCTAAAAATGTCACCGAGCTTCAACGATTTTTAGGAATGGTAAATCA